ATTAAAAAAACCTTTATTTTATTGTGTTTAAAAAAATTATGCAGTCTAAGTTTTTGTTTTGTTTTTCCAGCATTAGAGATTGAACCCAGGGCATGGAACTTGCTAGATAACAGCTCTATCAATGAGCTGTACCCCAGTATACATTTTGAAATTTTCTAGACTTACTGGACAGTAAACAAATCCATCACTTTTTTCATCAATGAAAACTAGTTTGGTTCCATTTGGATCAGGAAAAATCTTTTTCACACCAACAGGATGTCGATAATCATTGACAAACTGCCAGTCTTCAATGAAGAAATACTGAATGATACCAGTCTAAGAAAAAAAGTCCAAATGTAAGGTATGGTCAAGAAAATAATGACTTTTTGCACTTAAGCTAATTTTAAGAGAAAAATATTATTACTTTTGATAAAGAGTCTAATAATGTTTAGCATATGTGAAAGGTACAAACTCTGGGGAAATGAAATGAGAACACAGAAGTAATTCAATAGAATAGCAATCATGATGTACTTAGTGAGATGAAATTATAATTGATTTCCTATTTGCTAGAAACCAACCTTATTATTTAACAGAAACTTTCAAAAACAAACAAACTCCAGGGCTAGAGAGATGGCTCAGCAGTTAAGACTAGAGCACTGGCTGCTCTTACAGAGGACCTGGGTTCAGTTCTCAGCACCCACATAGTGACTCAGAAACGCCCATATTCCAGTTCCAGGGGATCTGATGCCCTCTTCTAGCATTCTCAGGCATTGCATGTACTTCGTGCACTTACACACAGGGAGGCAAAACACTTATACACATAAAGAAATAAAAATAGGGGGCTGGAGAGAGAGTGCAGTGGTTAAGACCGCAGACTGCTCTTGTAGAAGACCCAGGTTCGAATCCCAGCACCATATGGCAGCTAACAACTGTCTGTAACTACAGTTCTAGGGGATCCAACAGTCTCTTCTGTCCTCCACAGGCAATGCACGACATGGGTGCATTTACCTACATGTAGGCAATACATGTATACATATAAAATAAAAATAATAAAAAATATTGCTCAAAAAAAAAAAACAAACAAACCACAGGAGTACCACCAACTGCATGGCAAGCTGGGTAGTCTTGTGAAAGGCTGTTCCAAGTCATTTCCTGCACCTGTCTTGGGTAAGTTTCCAGATTTGCGCCTGCTTCCCTGCTTCCACTGATGCACGGGACTATCCAATTCACTTTCCTTAGGGTTTAGTACAAGTATGAACTGCCTGGCTGTAGTTATAGAGTTGGGTCTGGCTCTCTCAGTCTAGTGTCACCCTCTTGGCTACAGATGATCCCAGGGTGACCTTGCTTTGCTGTGTAAACCCATTGGAGTTTGCTGTCTCCCTACCAAATCTCTGGAAGTGTGGCAATTCAATTGAGCTGCTGCTTGGGAATTCCTGGCCAACTTGACAGGCTTCACTGGTGAATTTATCAAACATTGAAGGAAAAAAATATATAATTTTAGTAAACTTTTCCAGAAAATTGAAGATAATTAACTCATTCTATGAGGCTAATATTACCTTGATACCAAAATGAGACAAAGACACTATAGGAAAAGAAAACAAAAAGACCAATATACCTTATGAAAATGGTCGTAAAAATCTACACCAAAATTTTAGCAAATGAATTTAATGATACATAAAAACTCAACATCAACATATAGGGAGGAAGACAAGGCTAAAAAAGTTACATGGGAGCTAGCAAGTAACCGAACTGGTATTTGGGCCCCAAACTCTAGAGCCTGTTCTTACATTATGCCACCAAAATTGTTTAAAATCATAAAACACTGGTAATAGCAAATCATGTCACTTAGAATCTACAGAAGCATGTCATTGATCAGATAACTTCACTACGTATACTAAATCAATGAATGGAGAAAAAAAATAATAGGGAAAGGATCAAGAACACAAAGTAAAATTTAGACCTTCTTTCAGAAGATAATACGTACATCTGTTCCATAGATGAGGAAATCATTAGTTAAGGCATGACATAAAATACGGCACTTATCATCCACTGCTGGGAAGAGCCGTGTCTCACGTTCTTCCTGGGCATCCAAGATTTCATTTTCTATCTAAAACAAAACAGTGACTCACAGATTTCTCTGAATAAGTAAGGTGTTCATGTGCTTTGGGCAAAGTATCTTTTTCCCAAGTTTAATTACACAATCAAACTCTCAAACTACCTTAGGCCATTTTATGCAGAAAAACATGACAGGTGGCCTCCGGTAACACTGGGCATCCTTCTTTGGTGGAAAGAGCAGGCTGCAGAGCTGTCCAGCTGTTAACCTCTTTGGCTTCCCACATGCATGTGAAAAGTCAAGAAATAGATGCCGTACCTTACAAGCCCTGTCCTCATGGAAGCCAGCATCAAGTAGTAGGACAAGTCAGTAGGCACAGTTTGGTAGATCCCTATATGCAACATGCCCAAATAGGAGAGTGATGGGGTGTTCCCCTTAGGCACTCACAGCTCACTTGTGGTTCCTCTAGATGCAAAATTACAGCTGGGTCATTTTACTATAGTTAATGCTGTGAGTTGCACTGTTGATACCTATTAGGCTTCTGGGGACTGGGGTAAAAAGTCAACTGAACACTAACAACAAAAAAGCTGAGCATGGTGGTGCACACCTTTAGTCCCAGCACTCAGGAGGCAGAGGCAGGCAGATCTCTGTGAGTTCAAGGCCAGCCTGGTCTACACAGCAAGTTCTAGGCCAGCTGGGGCTATAGGAGACCCTCTCTCAAAAAGACAAAAAAGGAAAAAAAACGTCAACTGATCATCTCCCACAGAAGGGGAAGAGTTTTGTTTATCCTTTACCCACACTGGGATTTCTAGCTACATTCTTGCTTTCTGGCTAAGGTTCTTGACAATGAGATACCTATCTTAACAGGCTTCCAGGACATGAGAATTATACTTACCAAATGTAACTGGATTTTGCCTTCAAAGAGTGCAGCAGCATAGTCAGAGTGAAGGCAAATGCTGGCTACCGTTCCCAGATACTCTACATCTTTTAATTTTTTTATAGCTGTAGCAATTGAAAAAATTAAACACATTAAATTATAGATAAAAGTATCTCATCTACATATTTACAAGTTCTTGTCAAATGTGCACTTTGGCAAGGCTCTTCTGAACCTAATCTTATTTTAGCCACTCTAAAGCAACTCTTGGTTGTCACAGGAATTCTTAGTTTACCTTCAGGCAGTTCATCAAACAAAACAACAGCATATAAAATCACATGGAAAACAAACCAAGCCTTAAGTGACAAGAGGCTTAATAGAGTTCTCGGTTTAACAGGTTACTTCTCAGGGTTTTTCTGTTCCTGAGGAGTTATCTGACCTAGAGGAGGGGAAAAGAGTAAGAGAGGAAAGAGGTGAAGAAGGAGCAAGTTTCCTTTGCATGCTAAGAGCATTATCCAAAGAATAAAAGGGAGAGGGAACAGACACTTGCTAAGCACCCTCGGGGCTTAAGTCTGTCTTAACAAAGCCATTGAACAGAGTGGGATGCACACTAAATTTCACTTCATCCATTTCATGATCCCTTTAAAAGAAAAAGTCTCTTTAACTCCCAGATTAAGTCAAACTCACAGAGTAGCTTAGCACAGGGGCAGAAGGGGACACTGAATGCTAGGCCGCTCTAATTTTAAGTACTCTGCCCACTGTCTTTCCTACAAAGAATAAAATCTCTCTAGAAATTATGCATTATTCTTTTTTTTTGAGACAGGGTCTCCTATAGCCCCAGCTGGCCTGGAACTTTCTATGTAGACCAGGCTGGCCTTGAACTCACAGAGATCCACCTGCCTCTGCCCCCCAAGTGCTGGGATTAAAGGCATGCACCACCATGCCCGACTAAATGATGCAGTTTTAAGAGAAGTCACAAAGCCATTTAAGTTAAGAAATAGATACATGAACAAAAGACAAAAGAAGTGGAAGACTTGGTCTTAAAAGAAACTTGCAATGAAGAAATTTTACAGTAGGTAAGAATCCAGTAAATGGATTTAGACTAACCATTCTCTCCAAAGACATAAAACCAAGCTCGATTATTCATCCCTACAGCCAGATGATAGAGGCCTACAGCGACAAAGTTGGGTTCCACGTCAACAGAAATGGTGACTGGTGGCTCCTACAGCACAGAAATGGAACAGCAGTGAGTCAACTGTTGACTATTCTGATTCATAAAAAACAGACAGACAAGACAACTGACATACTCCTTCTATAAGGTTGGCCATGGTGACCTCGAGGAGGGAGGTGAGATATGCAATCCTTGTGTGGCAGGCATCTCCAAGGATGGGCAACTTGGTCAGGAAGACATGCAGTGAGCCCCTCTGGGTTGACAGTGCTAGCAACTGTCCATCATCAGTCCAGGACAAGGTGTCCAACCCTGAAGCAGTTCACAAGATAAACCATCATTCAGAATCACAATATACCCTTGAAGGTGAGCAAATAAAGGTTCATGTAGTAGGTATAAAAATGAGATATTTTCTTTTCTGTTTTT